CCAGTAGGCTGATAAAGAAGAAAGTTGTTATTACTGACTAATTGCATATGAAATTATGATATTGTTTGTGTTATTGACTCTATAGATTGGTTTTGAAAATCTCACTATGGTAAATATACGGTAATGATTTTATTTATGATAAATGAATGTACTTAAATTAAGAGCTTCATTAGTTGTTTTCATGATTTTTTACTAACCTTCACTTCTGTATCGGTGAGTAACGTGATATTCTTACTGAGATAGTAAAACTTACTTTTTCGTTAACCATTTCAGATCAAGATAACCAAGATCCACAATAGGATTGCGAGTAGGATACCCATTTTTTATTTATTTCTTTAATTTTTCGTTATTTCTTTTAAAAAGGTCATACTCGTAACCCTATTTGGTAATCTGAATTATTGTGTAAGGAATGTAAACCCTAACTATTTATTTCGCTTCCGCATTCAATTTATAATTTATTTCATTTCAAGTTCATGGTGATCATTGTGATCACCATTTGAATAAATTAAATTGATACAACTGATAAATACATGTTGATTAGAGACCAAAAAAATAATTAGTTTTTATTTTATGTACTAATATTATATAAAGACAATAACATTGATGAACAAAAATTGGTAGGTTTCAATATAAAGGATTTAAGTCACAGAACCCATTGGGCTTGAGTTCTTAAAGAACAAATTGTTTGGCCCAAAAATTTTATTAGATTATTGGTATTTAAGCTTTTAAACAATAACAAATAATGTTAGAGTATGTGTGATTTGATTATTTTATTAATTATAATTTGTGATTAAAATATATAATTTTAACAAAAATATTAAAAAAAAGTTGAGTAACAAAAAAATATTATAATAATTAAATCATATTAAAAATGTATATGATCCTGAACATCTTATATAAGAGTTATTTTTCGAATAAATTCAAAAACGATTAATATTATGATACTCGTCCCCTATCAACTTTAGTATTTTTTAGAAAATGGATTCAACCCCGTCAATTAACATGCCATGAGAGCTAAAAGTCTAATATTTGAATTATAATTATTTTTTTGTTAATTTATTTCAACATAACATAAAGTTGATCTATACTTCGAAAATACTTTAATTTAGTGGTTTGAACCTTAAAGAATTCTTATAAATTTTTTAAAAAATTAATTTAGTTCTATTATTTCACAATTAATAAAAATAAGTATAAATTAGGTTGTCATTAGTTTATTCTAGTTGTGCTAATAAACTAAGTTGTAAGTTCAATACGAATACATATTAAGTTCAATTCTTATGATTGCAAGAAGTGACACAGGATTCTCACATAGTGGTGGATGGTTTTACTTATAAAGCATAAGCTTTGATGCAATGGTTTGAGAATGGACACGATCCTTCACCCATGACAAACGTTAGGCTTACTAATTGAGCTCTTTGTTCCGCGATTCAAGAGTGGCAGGAACAAAACTGAAAAAGGTCTTAATTTTCTTCAACAAGGTGCAACAATGATAGGATTGAAGAACCTGATTATGGTAGGAGAATAGTTGATGATATGATGATAATTTATGTTTCCAATAGATACATATATGTGACAGCTGTTACTTGGGTGCTTGGATGTATTGTTCAGTTGGTGAGGTATGACTTTCTAATGTAATTTGCAGCAAGTAATTTGGTGTTTGATTTTGTTATTATAACATTGAAGCCATAGCTTCTCCATTTTTGAGAGTAACAGAGAAAGAAACTGCTAACAAGAACCACAAATGAGACTGACCCACTTAACTTTTGTCATTGCATTGAGAAATCTCTTTTTTAAGAATAAAAAAAAAAAAAAGTTGTCTTGAGTTAGGTTTCATTTAATTTAAAATGAATAACAATTCAATTTATATTATATTCAATAATTTATAAGGAAAAAACTATCTTAGAAAGAAAGGGATATAATTAAAAAATATATGAAAATATATTATAGATTTAATTTAAAAAATATATATATAAATAAGTGAGCATTAAATGATAAATTATCATTTTCAACTCAATCTAATCACGTTTCTCTTTATAAAATTGAATTTGCTTGAATTTTAAATAAAACATTATGACAAAACAAAATGGAATAGGATCATACTCTCATATCATATATTGAATGCTATTCTTGCTTCTGTTATGTATGTTTATTATTTTAATTTTATAATGATAGTCTCATTATAAATTTATTTTAAAAAACATTTTGAACCAAGTTTCTACAAATTATAACAAAAAATAAATAATCTATAACATAATCTAAAGTATAATATAAAAAAATTAGTATTTCAATAAAAAGTATATACCACATTTTGAATTAAATTATAAAAAAACAAATAATTTATAATCTAACCTAAAACGATGACTAGTCTTACATTTATTTTCTGTCGGCAAATATAAGAAGGCCATAAAATCCAAATTCTTCGGAGAGGTCTTCCGCTTTTATACGGATAAATTTCCACAGGACTAAGCTTATTAATAAACATTATTCGCAGTAGTGTCTGTAATAATGCGAGATTTAGTATTTTTAATATAAATAATTATTTTTACATAATTATTGGGTCTGGGCTTAACTGAAAGAGTTTTTTAATGTTGGGCGGGGTGTTTTTTGTTTTGGGTCTTTCATAGCTATCGGGCATGGGCTTAACTGAAGGAGCTTTTTAATATGGGCTTGGAGAATATTATGGGTCTTTTTTGTTTTCGGTTTTTAATAACTGATTTTTTGTTTGGCATAACTGAAAGGATTGTGCCCAAATCCAGGCCCATACACAGCAGACATACCCAGATCAAGGCCCAGGCAGTCCAAGGATCAGGCCCAGACCCAAGCCCAGACCCAAGCCCAGACCCATATCCAGAGCCAAGCCCAGATCCGGACCCAGACCTAGACCCAGACCCAGACCCAGATATAGGCTTGGCCCAGAACCAGGCCCAGGCTAGGCACATATCCAGGCCCAGACAAAGCCCATGCTTAAACTGGCCCAGCCTAGACAGGCACAGACCCACTCCTAGACCCCAAGCCCAGACCCAGGCCCAGACACACACCCATACCAGATCTAGGCTTTGGCCCAAATATAGGACTAGGCCAGGCCCATACCCATGCCCAGGCTCAGACTGGTCCAGCCCCAGTCAAGCCCCGATCCACATCCAAGCCCAAGCCTGTACTCAGGCCCAGACTCAGACCCTGGCCTAGCCAGGTCAGGACTAGGCCCAGGTCAGACCCAGCCCAGACCCATATTCGGGCCAAGGCCCAATGCCAGGTCAGACCCACCCCGGACACAGGCCCATGCCCATACCCAGACTTAGGCCGAGGCCCATACCCAGACCCAGGCCAAAACCCAGGCCCAGAGCCAGACTGATGCCCAAAACCAGGCCCAGAGCTAGGCCCAATTGAGGCCCATATAAGCCCAGTTCCGGGCCCATCTTACGTAAACTATTAACAATCTAAATTACTACATTTACAGAAACTATTTTACACCCATCTTTATGAATTCAAAATAATGCAGTGATTCTCCATTTTCGACATAAATCTTTTGTCTTCCTCCTATAGTTCCTACCGGCTATCACCATTATCAACTTGACTTGGAAACTCCTTCCCGTAAACAAGGAAATTAGCGGGTAATTGAGCATTCCGATTCTTATAGCTTATATCCATGTTTCCTCTTCTCTTCCATGTAGACAGCTCTCGGTATCTCGAACAGGTACGGAGAAAAAAGGCACGCATGGTTCATGATGATACAGTGTGTGTTGCTGTAGGGAAAGATGTCGAAGAAAGCAAGTTGACTCTGTTATGGGCACTGGAGAGTCTTCAAGCTAGGAATATTTGTATTCTTCATGTTCATCAGCCAGCCCAGATGATCTGCAAATTTCTCTACAATAGTAATTTCAGGGTTTATATGCAAATGTATGCATGGGTGATGTTCATGTCAGTGCAGATTTTTATTTCCTTGTATTTTTTTATTTGAATTAGAAGTTTTTCGGAGATTTCATGAGTAGTGTCGCATTTGGTATTTTAATCTACATCTTTTAAGGTAATGAGAAAGAGAAATTCTATAAAATGCTGTTAATTTGATTTGCTTTTCCTCTTGTGATTGTGGTAGTTAATGGGAATTTTCTGATGGACGAACTTGGAGAAGATGAACTCAGGACAATCAAAGAAGTGGAGGGAAAAGTTATGCATAGAATTCTGGACGATTACCTTGACATTTGTCGCCGAGCAGGGGTACTGTTCTCTCCCAATCTATGAACTATATGTATTGTTTTGTTCTCCTGCCTCCCTCTAGCGGTCCGCGCCCTTTCCCCATTATTTGAAGATTTACAATGTTATTTCTCAAAGGTGCCGCAAATTATTTTAGAGTCCATACTTATTTCAACAGGTGAATTGGTGAAGTTAGCAGCCCATACATATATATATATATATATATATATATTTAAGACTTTGTTTTCAATTTGTGGTGGTGTTGAGTTTTGTTATTTAAGTAGGCAAATTAATTCAACAGTTAGTGAGCTAGAAAAATAAACTTAGTCCCCAATGTAACCCAATTCTCACAAAATTCTGAATAATGCAGTTCCGAGAGCAAAGTACATATATATATGTATATAGTGACTTAGAAGAACCTCCTAAATAACACGTCTTAACAAGTTTCTTGGCCTCAACTTGAAAAACAACACTGCTTGGTTTGTGAAGACTTTTCTGATGATAATAACCCAATGCCAAGTCTTCTTCAGAGTATTTGCTGTCTGAAGGGGAATTTTTTGAATCTAGATTTTTTCTTTTCAATGGTTATTATTCCTGCTGGGTAAACTACCACTGTAGTGTTCATCTTTTCAGGTCAACTTCAGTTTGATTTATAAGTGGTCGTCAAAGCAACAAATAATAGCTGTTTATAAAAATGGTTGCTCTGCTTGTACTTTCACTTAATCTGGCATACATGTCTTCTTTCTGCAGGTGAATGCGAAAAAACTTCTTATTAAGATAGATGTTGTTGGAGAGGGAATTGTGGACCTTATTTGTCAGCATAGTGCGAAGAAGCTTGTGATGGAAGCAGCAGCTGATAAGCATTATTCAGTGTAAATGAATTAGGAAATGATGTTCATTTAACTTGAAAATCATTGCATTCATTTACTTGTTTATTTTTATTTTTTACCATGGATCTCAACAATAAAGCATTTGCATGATGTGGAGAGGATATTGAAGTTCAGATCTTGTTCAGGTCAATGGATCAGTGAAATTTGAAAATATTGGACTTTGTCGATGGCCGAGCGAGTTAGCAGTTAAATTCGCACCTGTGCTGGCATTGCTTATAAAAACCTTTAACTATGCAGGAGAATGATGGATCTCAAGTCAAATAAAGCTAAGTACGTGCTCCAGAATGTGCCTCGTCCTTGTCAAATTTGGTTTATCTGCAGAGGGCATCTCATCCATACATGGTAAACCTGTTCTTTTGTTTTAGTTGTTTTTGCCTATGTGTATTTGATGGTTGAGAGATTCATAGGCTGCTGGTTATAGCTAAGGTGCCTTTTGGAAAGACGACTTGGTTTCTTAATTTCCCTTTTTCTGTCTCATATTAGACTCCTTGTATTCTTCATGGTATTTTTCTTACTTAAGATATTATATTTCTTGACCTTATTGGGCTCTGTTTTTCTCACAGGAATGAAAGCGACATTGTTCAGCCTATATCTGAAGATCATCATTCACCTTCATCTAGTATTCTGGTATATATTCAATTGGTACATGTTACAAATTTTAAAATTATTCAATGAGTACCAAAAAAGCCATTTTTCAAAATTTTTTGCTGTGGCTCTTTGATTTTTTAAAGAAATGTCCTGCATGATGTCTAAAAATTTTGTAGGAAGGAGGTGGTGACGATCACTTCTATAATCAACTCTAAAAAGCTATGGAGGAGGCTGAGAAATTAAAAAAGAAGCATTTGAAGAGTCTCTAAGACGCATCAGATCTGAAGTCTTATTGAGGCTACCCGTAAGGTAAGCTAGATAATTTTTTCTAAAAGTTTATTACAGTTTATGTATATAATATAATTGTTGTAGATAGAATATGAAAAGACCAATGAACAATAAAGATTCATGATCATGAATACCGTTGTATATAGTAATATTTGATAAGAATGCTATCAGCTGAATATGTTTTGAATGATTCAACCAACAATATGGTGGTTTAATGGTGGTTAACATTTTTATATTTTATGTAAAAATTATGAGTGTGAATTTCACAAAGAATCTAGAGTTCGCTGCTTTATGAGTGTATTATAGTCTGGTAGTGATAGGTTTTTAGTATTTAACTCAATAAGACCAATAATTTAGCTCATTAGTGTATTGGTGAAATTGTAATAATTAAGTTGGAGTTAATCTTAACAACTCTATTATATTTTTGGGTGAAAAGAGTATTTTGGGGTAGTTACATTTTTTTAATTAAGATAACCATAACGGATTAAAATTTGATCTAATTTTTTTAATTTTTTAAAAAGAAATTGTGAATGACTCAATGGATAAGATCATAAAAACAATTCATGGAACTTATTCTTTGCAAAGGACTATAAATTGGTATAAATAGAATCACTATAAATTGGTTATATGAAAAAATTGAGGATTTAAATTCCCAAAGGTACTTTTGGTGCCTCCAAAATGGATGGTTTTATGCTCTCTAGATTGTGTTTAGTGGAATATCCAATGCGAACAGGCATCAATGTATTCTGCTGTCTTTTAGTAACTTCTTTTCCTTCAGAGCTAAAATTTGGAAATCTGATCCAATTCAATTTCCTAAAAATGGCAAATGATTACAGGCTCTATCATTGGAAATCTTGTACAATGAAGAGTTAAGACGCAGGAAAGAAATTGTAGAAGTGTTAGCAAGAGAAAGAGAAGATGCTGAAAAGATGAAGCAGGAGCGAGATGAAGAGTGTTTGATTGCTCTTGATCAGAAATTGCTAATGGAGAGCCAAGTCACAAGTTGTGATTGTATGATAAAACACTTGTAAGATGAGTTGGCTTCTGCTCTGCAACTATCACAGATTTTCAAGAAAGAGAGGGATGACTTTGAGGAAGCGCGTGACAATGAATAATTGAGGAGCTTTTGAAAAAACAAGCAGAAGACTCCAGTGTGGATGTGCACTAGTTCTTCTTTGAGTTTTCTGTATCAGAGTTTCAGGGAGCAACCTGCAACTTTGACCCATCCTTGAAGATTGGGGAAGGAGATTATGGAAGCACTTACAAGGGTATACTTCGGCACACCCCAGTAGCCATAAAGGTGCTGCACACAAATAGCCTACAGGGCCCCTCAGGATTTCAGCTGGAGGTAAGGTGCTTTAACTTGTAAGTGCGTTACTTTTCTGAATACTGTTGAGGTATTGATTTTCACTATTCCTTTAAATCCATAATAGGGACATTCTCTGTGTTATACTTCTTTGAATATCGTTGATGATATATCACTGTAGTACTAACTGCATTACTTCTTTGAATACTGTTGAAGTATTGATTTTCACCATTCAAGTTAATACAGAATAATAAACATTATATGTGCTTTGACTTTTAGTTTGATTTCATTCTGAATATTAGTGCAGTATTAACTGCATACTTCTTTAATANAAAGAAATGGGTGAAGGAAATCTTGACAGTCTTTTGGATCCATTAGCCGGAGGCCAGTTAGGCATGCCAAGCGGTTGTTTGATTTGGCCTTGAGGTGCTGTGAGATTAATCGTGGAAGCCGACCGGACCTTGTGTTTGATGTATGGAGGGTGCTTGAACCAGTAAGAACTTCTTGTGGACCCTCCTCATCATTTGTGCCTCCTGAAGAGCAGAACCAGACTCGGTCATATTTTCTTTGTCCCATTTCACAGGTAACTCCAGATCTCTTCTTCTTAACATAATTTTGGATTGTGATTTTTCTGTTAGAGTTTTGCTAAGATCCTTCTAATTATTATTAAGATCACTTTGCTATTTCACATATAGATAATAAAATTCCTAATTATTCCTCTCTAGAGATTGCCAATATGTATAAATAATAAATCTACGCTTCTTCTAAAAATAGATAATAAATCAGACCATCTCTTATCAACTTTAGTATTTTTTAGAAAATGGATTCAACCCTGTCAATTAACATGCCATGAGAGTTAAAAGTCTAATATTGGAATTATAATTATTTTTTTGTTAATTTATTTCAACATAAAATAAAATTGATCTATACTTTGATAATACTTTAATTTAGAGGTTTGAACCTTAAAGAATTCTTATAAATTTTTAAAAAAATTAATTTAGTTCTACTATTTTACAATTAATAAAGATAAATATAAATTAGGTTGTCATTAGTTTATTTTAGTAGTGCTAATAAACTAACTTGTAAGTTCAATAACAAGTACATATTAAAGTCCAATTCTCATGATTGCAGGAAGTGATGCAGGATCCTCATATAGCGGCGGATGGTTTTACTTATGAAGCATAAGCTTTAATGCAATGGTTTGAGAATGGACGCAATACTTCACTCATGACAAACCTTAGGCTTGCTCATTGCAATCTTGTTCATAATTGAGCTCTTCGTTCTGCGATTCAAGAGCGGCAGGAACAAAACGGAAAAAAGTCCTTGATTTTCTTCAACAAGGTGCAATAATGATAGAATTGAAGAACCTGATTATGGTAGGAGAATAGTTGATGATATGATGATAATTTATATTTCCAATATATATATATACACACACACACATGTATGACAAAGCCGTTACTGGGGTGCTTGAATGAATTGTACAGTTGGTGAGCTATGGTTTTCTAATGAAATTTGCAGCAAGTTATTTGGTGTTTGATTTTGTTATTATAACATTGAAGTCATAGCTTCATTTTTTAGAGTAACAGAGAAAGAAACTGTTAATAAGAATCACAAATGAGACTGACCCACTTAACTTCTGTCATTGTATTAAGAAATTTTTTTTAAAAAAATAAATAAAAAAAGTTGTCTTGAGTTAGGTTTTATTTAATTTAAATTTTATTTATATATTTTTAAAAAATTTAAATTTTATTTGAATTTAAACTAAATAACAATTCAATTCAGCCTTCAAAAAGGCTATTGTCACGACAATAATAAAGCTCGGTCGTGTTGGAGTTAAGATCGGAAAGTAACGTGAAATCAAAATAGATTTTACGCGCCCAAATTAAAAGTTACGATTTCACTTACTCAAATTTTTTTTTTTTTTTTTTTTTTTTGTTTGTCTTCTACCATCTTAAGTTATCTTTTTAGACGTAAATTAATCTAGATTAGTATTTTCATCTAAGAATTCATTTATTATCTGTATGTGGATTAGTCCTCAAAGAGGATGATCATCATTTGAATAAATTAAATTGATCCATTCATGCATACATGTTGATTAGAGATCAGAAAAATAATTAGATTTTTTTTAAAAATTTTATTCTCTAATATTATACAAAGACAATTGCATTGATTGAACAAAAATTGTGGGTTTCAATTTAAATGATTTAAGTCGCAGGATCAATTGAGCTTGAGTTTTAAAAAATCAATATTTTGGCTCAAAAATTTATTAAATTATTGTTATTTAAGCTTTTAAATGATTACAAATAGTATTATAGTATGTTATAATTTGATTATCTTATATTAATACAATCTTATAAGTCGATTTTAAGTTATAATAAATTGTATAATTTTAACAAAAATATAAAAATGAGTAGCAAAAAATATTATAATTATTAAATTATATATTAAAAATGTATATTGTGATAACTTGAAAATATTTTTAAATTAATTTCTTATATTTAATATATTTAATATAGCATTTATAATTAAGGACATAGTTTATAGTCAAACGAAAAAATGATGGATAAAGATGAATGAAGTAGAATAAGCATGAAAAGATATGAAAAAAGGTGGGAACATTTTTAATGAAGTGGTATAATAAAAAGTGATAACTTTTAAATGAAGTTATATGTAAAAAATAGTAACTTTTATATGAAATGATATCACAAAAAGTGATAATTTTTATATGAAGTGGCATGTGAAAAGATATTTTAGATGAAATAGTATATGAAAAGACTTTTTAGATAAAACGTTATAAAAAAAGTGATAATTTTTAGGTGAAATGACATGAAATATGACAACTTTTAGATGAAATGGTATGACGGAATGGTAACAACTTTTCTTTCGTGGTTCCCTACTCCTATAAATAAGGGATATGAGAAGGGAGAAAGAGATATTCTGAATAAGAAAAAAATTGTGAGAAACATAGATGTGAATGAAGAAGAGGAAGTACAAAGTGTGTGATTTTTTAAAATATTTTGAGATTTTAGATAAAAATCTTGGAGAAACTCTGCTAAATTTGTGAAAGTAAAGAAAGAGAAGATAAAGGGAATAAGACTCACGATAAAAAAAAAGTTATAAATCATTAGAAATATAAGCTTTTTTTTTTTTAAATTTTAAAATTTAATTTCTCTTTGATTTTTTATATTAGTTTTTAACTATTGTGTTAGACATTTTTGAGTTAAGAAAGTGACCAAAATTTTTTCTAAAATTCTGCTTGAATTTTTAGAAGAAAAAAATCATAAATAAAGTCAGAACTCTACCGGAATTAAAACTATGATTGCTAAGGACCTAAGGTAAATATATATTATAAATTTATAGCTTACGTAGTTTTGAAGTATTTTATATATTTTGAGTATAAAAATGTGCAAGTGTTTAATTTATTTTTCGTATTTGCTAAGTAAGTATTTGTTAAAAGTTTTATTTTGATATAAGTGTTATTTCGTTTTATGTTTTCAAAATGTAATTTTGATATACATGCATCACTTATTATGGAAAAAAGTTATTCTGAAAGCACCTGTATTATGCTAGGATTCAATCTGTTCGTACATAACCGTTGCGTATTTGAGTGTATTAGCTAAGTGATAAGCGTGTACCTATACATAATTGTTTTGTATTCGTGTGTATAGAAAAACAATCTGATCTGCATACCCTAACTATTCTGTTTTTGAGGAGTAACAGTAT